TTATTTAACAGCAGTAATAATTTAAAATTATAAAAACCCCTTTCTCGGTATCGACTTGTCAAAAAGGGCGGTGTTAGTAACAGGGGAGGGTGGTGGCGGGGAGGGAGGGAGGAAGGGAGAAACTGTGCAGAGGCAGGAAGTGGCGCTGGTTGTTAAATTCGCTCCCCACTCCTCCTCCTCCTCTTCTTCCTCCTCCTCCCTCCCCCTTTGTTGCTGGCGCCTAAGGAAAGAGCCTCCTCACGAGCTTCTCCAGCAGCAGAGAATCCGCAGAGGAAAAGAGGGGAAGGGGAAGAAGGAACTCTCATTACATTTCTACTTTCAAGGATCGGTATCACCAGTTCTTCAAGAGAGCTGACGGCAGGACGGGAAGTGGGGCAGAACAAAAAAAAAAAAAAAAAAAAGGGGACATTTGTCAAAATTTTATTAAAAAAAAAAAAAAAAGAATGGGAAAAACCCGGGAAGCAACCAGGGTTCTAGACTAAACTAAGATGTCGAAAGAAATCTTGGAAGAAGTAAGCTGTGGTCAATTCATTTCCTGGTTCTTTCTGAGAAATCAGCATTTTCGTGTCTATGAAGTCAGGGGTTTCACTTTCCCCCAAAAGGAATCCTTTTTTTTTGTACCATCTGCAAGTGAAAAGTCCCATCTCTCAAGGGTTGGGGGTTATATCCAGGTTTCGCCCTTGCGTCCGAAGCCATTCCTTGTTTTGTACAGGTGGTCCTTGCCTTACGACCGCAAATTGAACTCAAATGTCTGGTTTGCTAAGCAAGGCGGTTGTTAAGTCAGCGTCACCCCCATTTCTTGCCACTGTTGTTAATGTCAAATCACAGCACTGGTTAAATTAGTAAGATGCTTGTTCCGTGAACCCGGCTTCCCCCATTGACTTTGCTTGTCAGAAAGTTGCAAAAGGGGATCGCGTGGCACACACCCTGGGATACTGCAACCGTCATAAATATGAGCCAGTTGCCAAGCGCCTGGATTCCGATCACATGGCCACGAGGATGCTGCAGCGGTTGTAAATGTGAAAAAACGGTCGTAAGTCGCTTTTTTCAGGGCTGTTGTGACTTTGAACGGTAATGAAACGAATGGTTTTAAGTCGAGGACTACCCGCACAACTTTGACGGACGATGCTGTGGTTGTCTGTTCCACATCTCTTGGTGTCCGTTTGGGTTGTTTCAAGCTATGCCCGCAAGAGGAGGATCGGTTACGAAACAGGTGGGCTTGTAAAGGCCTGCCTTGCCAGCAAAGCATCCACCAAGCACAGCGCTGGCCATCGGAGGGCGCCACTGGACCGCAGCAGCGTTAAGGGAGAAGGCGGACAATCCGAGACAAACGGTAAGCAGAGTCCAACCTATTGGTTCAGGCCACGGTTTTTCCACCCTTTGTTTTTTCCCACTTGACAGGGCTAATCCTGTAAGGAAGGCAGGAAGGAGACATTCTGGTGTTGTTTCTAGCTTAATCTTTATTGCCCTGCTTACAGAAACTGCCTCTCCGGTTAACCCTTATTACCATTGTAACAGCTAAGGCAAAGCGCCCATCGACGTGAATGATGAGTTGGCCACTCCCACACGGCCACATGACCACCGAGCCCCACCTACCCAGATGGTCATTAGGGCAGAGAACCGGTTGTTAAATTATATGAATCCCACCACTGAGCGGAATGTACAGCTAGAGAGGAAGAAT